TTATGCCTGTGGCTAGTTCTACAGTAGCAGAATTACAGTGGAATATGGCTACAGTTTGAAAGGAACTGACTTTTTTTGCTTGAAGTGCCATCAGTTCTCTGCTGATTTATCCCAAATATCAAATTATACTGCATAATGGGTTGCACCCTTCACCCAATGCATGACATTTTGGTAACGGAATTACCGCCGCTGTAGAATTGCCCATATATGATATGCTTCCAAAATACGTTTAACGTATTCTTGAAGAAATTCGTTAGCCTTGCCTTTGTTTTTGTGGAAATATAAAAAATGATAATTGATGATGTTTTCCTCCTCTAGCGCTGGGTTGTAATAAGCTGAGAAAATCTGCGGTGTTCACACTGATAGCATAGCAGCTGGTCTTATCCCTGCCAGATGTATGCAAGCCGTCTTTTGGTGACACATTAGCTAAGGATCTGCATAGGATTTAAAACATCTAAACCGTGCCTGTAGGGTTTAAAGTGACACACTAAGTTGTGGCTGTGTCAGAGTGACTCTGAATTTGGATATTTATACCATCGTATTAGATTGTTGCTTTGTTGTCGTTCGTGGTTATCAAATTGTCAGTGCCCTCAAACATTCGGCGTTGTTGAGAAAGGATTTTAATTTGTTTTTTGTCCCAAATCTGTTCTTACTGTGTGAAACAAGCTAATTATTCACCAGAGACGGATCGATAGCTGATGTATTATAATTGGGATGAAACTGAACTACTTAAGAAGTCTGAATACTCTCTTGATTGTCTTAGTGGGTGGCAGCAATGGTTTTGAATGCCGTTGTGTTAGTCAGTCAGTTTTTATTTATGAGTTCCTATTGTTACTGTCTTTCTTAATTAACCTTTAGGTCTGAATGGTCTCTGTGAAAGCTGAGTTGATCCATTTCTTTGTTCAATGCCCGGCAGCAGGAATCAATGTAGTTCTATCCACGATGTAATTAAGCTGCTTATCCCACAGATAATATTTAATCCGGACCTAAAATAGCTGGGAGCAACTGAGGGAGACTTCAGGTCAGTGTGATGGTTAGGAAGAACTCAGCTGGGAGGTGACATAATTAAATCAAGGAGAAGGGAGACTGCTTAGTGCCTTAGTGCAATTGCTCAGGTGATCTGTTTGTGTTGGGGCCCCCCAAGATGGCGTCCTCATCATCGCCGCGTCATTGCAACAAGGCCGTACCCTCCTGGGCTGCCCCAGCTGGTAATTAGAGCCACTCCCTCAGTGCTTAAAAGCAGAAAGTGGAAACCCGAGACTGTGTTTACAGGGCGGCAGGCAGTCCTGCTGCCAAGGGAATAGGTCGCAATCACCAGGAAGTTACGGGTTCCAGTCCCCATAATGACTCCGCTGCGGTACAGCACATGCAGGAGCATGGGAAATTGCGGAGTGTGCAGATCCTTAGCATTAGCAGGCAAGGCGGAAGCTCAGGAACCGGGCATGCTGTGAAGGTGGCGGCCATTGGCCCGCCTGTCTCTCTCGGCTCGGTGCCTAACTTCTCCGGTGAAGTCCTCTGAAAAGGTCACTCTTTGATAAAATCTGTGTAATGAATGTTTCCAGTGGGGAAGCAGTGACGGGGAGGCGCCGTGCGTCGACCATCCCCTCCCCCCCCATGTGAAGCAGCAAGCACTGCAGAGCCGACCTTGTGGGGGTTTGGCCTTCTGCTCTTGTGGACCATGTACTCTGTACAGGCGTGCCCCCAAGAGCCTGAGTAAATTGGATTAACTGAAATGCCTGTCGTTGGACTGCTGGGGCGGGGGGTGTATTGTCCTTAAGCTATTGGGTAAATAACAAGCAAGGTTGGAGTGGAGGATGTAATGCGAAGTGGCTGTGGCTTCCGTCCTTTCCCGACGGGATGGCTTCAGGGACAGCACCCATGTCACGGTCCCCGCCTCGGCCCGTGCCGCTTTTCCAGTGGCCGTCCGAACGTGATGGATTTCTGACTCTGTGAGCGTGTCACTGCCATAAATCAGCGGGTGGCTGTGCCGGCAGGCCGCGTCAGCACCACCGAGCGAGCGGCTCCCGCCGTAATCATGGCCTGGAAATGCAAATGGGACCAGTCACCGGCGATTTATGAATGCCGTCTGGGTGCGCTCAGAAAACCGGCTGGGGTATTTGAGGGGGAGATTATTTTCAGTGGGGTGTTTTATTTATACATTTGAGGTTTAATGTTTGGATCTTTTTGGTGCCCCCCCACCCAAGCTATAATCTGCTGGCCCCAGTGGCTGTCTGACTTCCTGCCGGAGGAGTAACTGTATGCATCTCACCTCCTGCCAATCACTGCTCCTCCCCCCCGATAACACACTTTGCTGTCAGACCGAAAGGGATTTATTTTCCTGCAGACCTCCGACCAAATTGTTTCCGCCGCCTTCCTGATTGCTGGGGACGGCAATCATTCTTCAGGCCCGTCACCTTCATGTCGATCTGAAGCCAGTAACTGACAAAATTAATTCTGCTGACAGCATTGTTGCTTTCATGCCATCCTCTGTCAGGCCAGGGTCAATCATAAGAGTGACATCAAACTATTAAACAGTGACAAACCTTGACATTTTATAGCTAATGTTATATATTCTCACTCACAAGCGTTGTGTTTTTTTTTTGTTTTTTTTTTTAACTATCTTCTGCCGTTCCCTGCCCTCCACCTCCTATCCCTGGCTCATGTTCGACGTCTGAGTGGTATGAGCTTCGGACTGGTGTGC